TATGTTTATTATATCATTAATCTATGTATTTTGTATTCTTATAATACATATTAAAAATGTAATAAATACATTATTTTATAATTAATTTATATAAAATAATAATAATTGATTTAAATTTAATCAATTAGTTAATTGAAACTATCTACATTGTAATAACATTAAAATAAAAATTAATTTTTATTATTTTTATATAAATTAATTATAAAAAATATTTATTATATTATTAATCTACATATTACAAGAAACATATTAGCTAAACCTATTTATTTTTTATTCGTAGAAAATTACTAAAAAGTCTAGCGGTAAAATTTTTTCTCGTTAAGGAGCAAGTAGGGTGGGGACCACGAAGCACGTGACAATGGAGGTGATGTTCTCAGCGATCATGTGAGTCTCTTTTTAAGTTTGGGGGTGTGGGTCAAATTCCACGTGGCCGGAATCAGTGGAGTGTGTTTACATGAACCTTCCCTTGACTCTTCTCTCCACACGTGCGTTATTCGTTCCATGTCTTCTGGCAAATAGGGATAGCAACGGGCTCACGCTCCCCATCCATGTCCCATGAATGGCGGAAATGAGGATCTTCATTTCTATTAATATCAAAATATAAATTTTTTATATATAATTAATTAATATTTAATTACAATAAATAAAATTTTAAAAATTAAAATATAATTAATTAAAATTCTTTAAATTTAAAATCAAATATAAATTATTTAAACATAAATAAAAACTAACTCAACATAAATAAAGATCAACTAACATAAATAGTTAAATTAACAAAATTATTCCAAATATAAATGAAGATTAATCTAATATAAATAGTTAATCTAACATATTTGTTCCAAATATTAGCAAAAATCAATCCAACATAAATACAATAACTAAACTAACATCCAAATTCGAACATAAAAGGAGGCAGCCAACTCAAAATACCTTAACTCTCAAAATCCACATTTTCTCTACAATACAATTTGTAAATACTCCATGTTAACATTTTTATTAAAAAAAAAAACTATTTATATTATTAATTAGTATAAAAAAAGGTCATGCATATTTTACCTTTAAATTATTTTCTTCATCACACTCCACATCATCGTTAAGAGTAAAAAAAGTTACATCATCTAAAGAACTTATTTCAAATAAGAAAATTTAAATCAGATGGAAGATCCACCGGATCGAATGGCAGTATCGCAGCAAAGATATAGTTCAGTAGCAGTCCAACAGATTGGATGGCAAATGGCTTTGAGTTTGATAGTAGTAGTCTAGATGGATTCAACTCGGACAACAATCCAACAACAACTCCAACATGTAGTTTGGCTCCGACAACAGCTCTAGTAAATCAGTAACAACAATGGAGGGATTAAGGGTTTTTAGGTTAGGAGAAAGGCAAAGGTGGAAGTGAGGGCAGAAGGGTGAAAAGGGCATAAGGGCGATAATGGAGGGATTTAGGGTCTGAAGAGTGTCGACAGTAGAAGGGGAGGGGAAGGTGAGAGTGATGAGAAATGAATAAGGTTAAAGTTAAATGGTTAATAATGGATTGGGTTAATTTTTATGGGTTGGGTTGGATTGGATAAAATTGGGTTAAGTTTAATTTTTATTGGATTCGAAGGTTAAATTAAATTTAAAATAAAATTAATTTTTATTTTTTTTATTTTTTATTTTTTTGGGATAGGGATTCCCATGAGATCCCGCGGGATAAAAATAAATTTCCCATGAAATTTTGTGAGGAGAAAATACCTCCCATTGTTGCCTCGCGAGGATTCCTCCCCGTCCCATCTCATCCCCGTGGTGGGGATTCCTACGAGGAATGAGACAAATTACCACCCCTATTGGTGAACATGATAGCACATGTAAATCAGTCACGTGGATGGCTAATTCCGCATGTGACTCTCACTCTTGACTTTTGCCCTCGTGGGAAATTCCTCAATTATTGTTACTTCAAGATCAAAAATACCACACCTACAATATCTTTACCTAGTGTAATATGATTTGGACAGGTAACAAATCGAGTTGAGTTGAGTGTCATAGTTCTTGTATTTGAGCTTACCTTAAATATTTGAGTTTGAATATTTATCAAATTCAAAATGATTAAACTTAAGTTTTTGTTTATAAGTATTTGAGTGAATTTAAATTTTACTTATGAGCTTGAGCATGAACATTAAACATTACCCATGCATTACTTGTTATTACATGTGTGTTGTTTATTCTAATATAATTGAGAAAATGATTGAGAAATAACTTTTTATACATTAATTTTTTCATATAGTTTTATGTGTTATTTAATTATTAATTCTTTTTACTCTAATAAAACTTATAATATTATATGCATTAACTCAATTAATAAGATGTAAAAGTTATATAAAAAATTATTTTTGTCTCCATATCATTGTAGTTTTTTAACTCAAAATTTATCTCAAATTGATTGCCTTTTTTTTTTTTTCATTTTTAAAGCATATAAATATTTTATTTTTAATTTAACCTTAATTTTAATCATCCATTTTATGACCAAAATTATTTATTTATTTTTATTTTTTTCTTAGGGGCTAACATAAGTAGAGACATAAATTGGTTACAAATTTTAAATTTATGAAAAAGTGCAAAAAGATTAAAAAAAAAAAACGACAATTATTTTTAAATGAAAAAAGCACCTAAATAACTTTTTCTTTCTTAAATCTCTCCTCATCTATTTAAAGATTTAAAATTTAAGGTGTCTAATATAAAACTAAACCTCTTATTCATTAGAATATACCTCGAACGTACCTAATATAGCGTGAGATTAATTAGTTAATGTATATCGATTATGCACTTCCCCCAATAAAAATACTAAAATGGTAAATCATACCATGCCAGTCAAAATGTACAAACCTTCATACACAATTTTCTTTTTCTTTTTATCATAATAGAAAATTTGTCCATCAGAAGAAGAAATTTCACTTTCGTAGCCATCAATGAAAGATTTTCAATGTTACAAATTAGAATATATTTCACGAACAATGATACAGTTACTGGACAGAATTTCATTACTGGACATAAGTTTCATAAGAAGAAAATATACTTGACATGTGATAAGGTGCATGACTGTTCAACATCTAATCAAGAGCGACAATAATATAGTAACAATATTATATAAAATTATAAATTTACAAAATTTAACGTATCATTAAAAATGAGTAAATGTATATAATATTATCTTAAATTTTTAAGTGAAAAGAGCTTATTATATCATAACTAACTAAGATTGTAAATTTATAATATTATATAACATTGTAACTATATCATTTTCATATCAAGAACACTAAAAGAAAAAATGCCAACTTAACATGAATTATAAACAATACTACAGAGTCTACACAACTAGATACTACTGCCGAGATGAGTTTACCAATTATACACAAAATATCAAATTCGAAATAGAAGAATATGCAGAGATGTATAGATTATGCAGAATAAAACCGGAACTTGGAATAAGCATAATCAGATTATATAGTATGCAATGACACTTATCAATGTAGGAGGATCATGTCATACAATCTTGAAAGCTAAGAGGCACAAAGGAGGAATCCATTTTTGACAGGACCGTCAGCTGGTCTTTGATAAAAGCATAAATACCACCTGTTTGCAACTGCATGCCTGGTATTGACATTAGTTACCGGTATATTCACAAGCATCAGCAGATGATAAATCCAACACTCATAATTTTCTTCCATTTCACTATCCAAAGCAATAACACAGGTTTTACGGTGCAGAAGATAGAAGATTCATTTCTACAGTAATTAACTAATTTGACAAACATTCTCTGTAATAATTCTTTGGCCTTTATGTACTGTGAGGCAGATTCATTTCTACAGTATTTAACTAATTCGACTAACATTCGCTGTAATAATTCCTTGGCCTTTATGTACCGTAAGGTAATAATAATTACTCGATTGCTTCAAAATTATACATCATTGTTTCCACAACTTAATCTTTTTAAGTTCTATGATATCATATTTGCCAACATTGAACATTCTATCCCAACCTCACACCCAATTGAGTGATTCAATTAGTTAAGAATTTGAAACTTAAAGATATCAAGTTAACCTCACACCCAATTGAGTGATTCAATTAGCTAAGAATTTGAAACTTAAAGATATCAAGTTTAAACCTTTGTTTAGATGAGAAGGGATTTGAGAAGAAGAATTATCCCCCTTACATAGTGCCGTCGGAAAGAACATTCCATCTGAACATCATTATTCAAGTCATAGTCAACGGACAATGTCCTAGAAGCCAAGAATATAGCAAGTAATGAGTCTCATAAAAATGCCAGTCTTCAGTTATCTCATCTCTAAATATAATGATTTGGAACATTTAAAAGATCACTAATAACGGAAAAGCATTCAAATTCAATCTAAAGACTTGTTCTAGTAGATAGAAAACGTATAAAAGACAGTGTTGCTTGCATATTTAGTTACACAAAACCTTAAGAATGGCTCAAGCATTTCTGTTTTGACAAGAATAACGCCCGCAAACTACATTGCATCACCTTAAAAAGTTGGAATTCAAGACTTTCACTGATAGTTAAGTTTAAAACTTGAGTTTCAGAATATCCGCGAAAAAGTGCTCAATTGAGTAACAACGTAAAAAAGGTAGAGACTGGCAGTTCTGATAAATCTAACCAAATATCATCTGGAACAGGGCCTGATGTTACAAGAGAAAAAAGTATTGAGAATTCTATGGCTCAACTACCGTCACCTGTTGCCACTCCCCATCTACAGCTTCTTTCCACAATGTTACATTGTTGTTCCCATCAGCCACAGCCAATATGTTTCCAGTCAGCGACCATGAGACCCTCCAAACAGGGGCATTGAAATCCTTCAATACTTTCCCTTCCCACTGATCTCCATCCTTGGCAACAGTCCATATAATTACTTTTCCATCCTGTGAGGCACTTGCAATTGTGGATTTTGGTAGGCCCAAGTTGGGTGCCCAAGCAACATCTCTGACCCAATCGGTATGCATTTGTAGCGCTGGAAAGCAATCCATTTTCCAGATCCCATTGTACAGCTTCCACACCTTTACGGTATTATCACAGCCACCTGAGCAAAGTTTCTGAACAGGGTCGAGCAAACCAGAACCAACGAGAGCTCCAGGTGCAGTTGATGGGGCCCATGAAACAGAAGTGACACCTACGGGGTGAGCTTGGTCAATCCTTGAGGTGTCCCAACCACCATCTGGTCTTGCAGTGAAGACTGATATGTTCCCATCAGATGAACCACACGCCAAACAGAGTCCCACTTCATGAGGAGCCCAAGCAATTGAATTAACAGAAGATTTATGGTCATCAAAAACATGAGCTTCGCTCCACTCATTCTGATTGCCTTCTTTCCATATTATGACACGCCCATCATAGGAACATGAAGCAAGTAAAGACCCAAACTTTGGGTGAGCCCAAGCCACCTCCCAAACAGGACCTTGGTGACCCTGAAGAGTTGCTAGATGCTGATTGGTTGTGCCACTCACCCCAATTATCTTAATCGTGTTATCTGATGATGCAGTGGCAATACGCTTGCCATAATAATCCATTGCCACATCATGGACAGTGTCTTGATGACCCGATTCGATCTTTTGTCCAGGCATTATCTATTTCCTGCAACATAGAAAGAAATTTCTTTTAAATTTTAATTTTTGTTCACTCTAAGCTGGTAGAATGGAAGCACTTGGTTCTTTTTTAATAACAATAAAAAATTCAATGATATGGTTACTCCAATTTTATGGTTTCCCAAGTATCATATTTGTATAAACAAAGCTTCAAATTGTATGCTTTTCTAACCACCAAATGGAATCGTCACATTAAAAACTAAAGAAGGATAATAAACAGAAAGAAAAACTAATATGATAGACAGTCATATTCCTAAAGCACCAAATTTCTGCGGTGAATTTAATTTCAACATCTTCCAATTCTTGACTCCACACTGTTTCTAAGCTACCGAAAACTAAATATTTTCTACCACCTCTCTTAGCCAACAAACAAAACAATCACATTCAAAAAAATAAAACAAAATAAATAGAACTAGCCAAAATGTACCAAACCAGATTCAATAGCGAAACCCTAATTTCAGATCTCAGATTTTGTTCAATTAAGCAAAAACCTGAGCAGAATCAATGGATTGCTATAAAAGGGAAATCTCATTACACTTACCGGAAATATACACATAATTAACAATCTATGAATATTGACTAATTCTAAAACAAAGACATCAAATTGAAGAAACAAAAATGGAGCCGAATGAATTAAATCCTACACAGATACAAATACACGAGCATGCTCACACCATTGGCATGGATATTCGAGTTTAGAAAATTAGGAACCGAACCTCGGGACAGAACGACGACGGTGAAGATCGATTGCCGTATCAGACTATCCGGCCGGTGGACGAAGGAGGAATGCTTCGAGACAAAGGATTTCTTCAACTCTATGATGAATTAATAAACTGAGGTAAAAAGAAAAAAAAAAAAGTTGGATAGGCCTAGGCCCAATAGGCTGTTTTAGGTCTTTTGAGCTTTATGATGGGCACAACCCTTCCGCTGTAGGTTGGGCCACAGCCCACAGCCTTTGCTTTCGGGCAATTCTTCTATAATTTTGAAAATTAATTTTTTTTTATATTTTATTAATTTTAATTAAGATTTTATATCTTTTAAGATAATTAAAAATGAAAAAATAATAAATAAATAAATAAATAAGACTTATAGCTATAGCACAACGCAACACAACCATGAGAAATGTAAGCAAATATGACTAGTTTCTACTTATATAGCCCTCCAATGGAAGGAAACTTCTATCTCTTTAAAAAATAATAATAATAAAATCACTGCAAATGACTTATATGTGTTGTGGTAGATTTTGGTTTTTATTCTGGTTATCCAAAATTAAACAATCAAATTTAGTAATTAAAAAAATTAAATTAAATTAAAAATAAAATTGTCAACTCATTTACTATAAGTCTTTAGAATTAATACCAAAAACTAAAAACTTGATTCATTTATAAAATTTGTTAATTTTATTTAGGGTTATTAAATTTTTAAAGACTAAAACCAAAATTTAAAAACCACAACAATACTAAGACTTAATTTTTTTTTTTATCAATAATTCGCCAAATATATTTCACACAACATTTTATCTAAAAAAATTAAATTTATAATTCTACATTAGTTTTAATTAATTTTTATATACTTTTACTAAAAGATAAAAAAAAAATTATAACTATAACATTGCACAGAATAATCTTACACTGACAATCAAAACCTAAATTCACTTAGAATTCGTGAGCAATCCCTCTTTTAAACCAAATTACTTGATTAAATCAAATTAACCAAATTAAGATTTTGTTTGTTAATATTGTATTGTATTATGCTATCACTAATGGTTTTTTATATAGTTCAAACACTAACAAACCAAGCAAGCCTAAATTTTAAAATTTTAATTGGTACTTCAATTTTGACACTAAAGGCGGATCCTTCAATAGTAGAGGTGGTAATTTGTTTCGATCCTCATTGAGTCCCATGGGAATCCCTGTCACAAGAACGGAGTAAGGAGGAATACTTCTCATGGGGTGAGGATGGAGGGCATCTTCCCTTGTGAAATTTAGTAAGTAATTTTTCCCGCCCCGCAGAACCTTACGAGGATCTCATCCTTGCGAAAAATTTAAAAAATATGTAAATTAATTATATTTTAAATGTAATTCAACTTTCAAACCCAAACCCAATTCAATAAAAATTAAACTTAATCTAATTTTATCTAACCTAACCTAGCCTATTATTAACCTTTTAATTATTTATGTTGAAGTAATCTTTATTTATATTTAGACAATTTATATTTGATTTTATATTTAAAAAAATTTAGTTAATTGTACTTAAATTTTTAGAATTTTATTTATTATAATTGAATATTAATTAATTATATATAAAAAATTTATATTTTGATATTAATTTGGGCAAAATCTACTCCCATTAAAAATCTTCAGGGAAAATCTTTACAAGGACGAGGAGGGACTTCTTAGTCCTATGGGGTATCGTTGACATCCCTATTCAATAGCTACATTTAGATTTACAATGTATACGATGATTTAAATTGATTTGTTAATGGTTCTTTTTCTTAGTGCTAATTTTTGTTTTTCTCATTTTTATTTATTTGATATTTGATCTATCATTTTTTTATTATTTTCGGTTAAAACCCTAATTTGGTCCCTCTACTTTGATAAAAAAAAATTTAGTTTTTTAACTTAAAAAATTTCTTTTTTTATCCTTAAAGTTTGAAATCTGACATCCTTTTAGTCTTTCTGTTAAGTTTTAAAGTTAAATAATGAAGATTTCAAAGTAAAATGATCAAAAGGGGACTAAAATGGGGCTAAAAATAGCCCCAATTTGGTCGGTCTATTTTTTTTAAAAAAAAGCTTTTTTCTTTTCTTTTTTTTTTTTTGAAATTTTAATCATTTAATGTAAAAACTTAATAAAGAAATTAAAAAATGGTAAATTTTCAAATTCTAGAGACCATAAAAGGACTTTTTTAAGAAAAAAGCTTTTTTCATTTCCTCTCTTTTTTTCTATTTGAAATTTTAATCATTTAATGTAAAAACTTAATAAAGAAATTAAAACATGGTAAATTTTCAAATTCTAGAGACCATAAAAGGACTTTTTTAAGTAAAATGATTAAAATAGAGTTTTTTACCAAAGTAAAGAACCAAAATGAAAATTTAACTAAATGAAATTATATTAACAGGAATCAGCAATCATTCTCACGTTTAAAGAGCCTACAATGTAGATAAGCATTAACTCAAAATAAAAAAATTATTTTATACTTTAAAGTGTATTAAACCATAAAACAAGCAACCCTATACTGCAATTAAACTTTAAAGTAAGTATCAATCACTTTTTTTACGTTGAGAACGTGCAATGTAGTTGGTCATTAAATTAAAAAAAAAAAAAGGGTGCAAGAGCCCTATGAGAAAGGATTATTGACTTACTCCAGGGACAGAACTGTGTCGCACACAGGCTGATGGTTGACGATTAGTCCCGCTGAAGCCCTTTAATTATTTGCTTTTAAGATTATTAACCTCTTAACATGTATCCCATTACATGCTTAGGTAGAGTAGAATTAGGATGGGCAAAGGCGGAGCCAGGGGATCCTAGAGAGGTACAGGCCCCCCAAACTTTTGAAAAGTTAATATATTAGTATTTTATTTTTTAATTAAAAATTATCTGGATGCTCAACGTTCTTTAATTTTATTTTTAACACTTAACTTTTATTTTATATAATTTTTTCTTAAATATTTTACTTCATGGTATTGATCTTCTTATCTCTTTATTCATTATATACTACTTCTATGATATAGAGAAAGATGAGAAATATGAAAGATAAAGATTAATTGAATGATAATTTATAAATTGTTTGATTGTTTTTTATTTCAACAGTTATTATTTAGATTGTATTTTAAATTGTTCTTTTGGCACGTGCTTTTAATCATTTTTAGTGAGAATTAGAAATACAAAAATATCATTAAAAAATACTTATGATTAAGAGAGTATAATAGTAATTTTTATTCAATTAGGATAAACATTATTAATTTAGACTGAAACTCCACATATTTATATTGTGACTTATGACTTTAAATTTTGCTCCCCCTTTACATGAATTTTTGGCTACATCATTGAGGATGGGTATGATTGCACTAATGCACTAGATGCCATTGTATGCTTGGGTGAGAGTAGAATTATGTTTAAATTATTACTAGTAGTTAATCTCTACACTTATATATTATTCACACTCATACTCACACTTCCATTTTGATATGTACATACTACTCATATTTACACTTTCATTCTGATGTAAGATTCAAGGCATCACATGTTACAAATAAGATACTATTTGTGTCCAATTATTTCAACAAAATAATCTTAATTGTAAGGTGTAAAGTTGTGACAAATAAGGTAGTAGTTGTGTTTATTTTTTTGTCACTAAAAACGTGGTTTTTGTAATGATTGAAGAATTAGTTAGTCTTAGTTTTAATGACTTGGTATTTGTGATGAAAAGTGATCAATTAAATTTTAGACGCTAATTTAATCTGTGATAAAAAAAATAAGATTTTTTGTGACAAATTATGTTGTCACAAAATATCCATTTTCTTATAGTGGGGGCTTGTGCCTGCTACGATCCAACCCCTCTCCAAAACATAAACAATAGGTGGGGACATTATTATTTATACAGATTTAGTTTTTGTTTGTTTAGTTTCTACTTGATTTGTAACTCCATAGACTAGGTTTGGTAAACGTTTGTTTTCATTAAAATTAAAACCTAGTCTTTAAATGATGGTAGAAATTAAACTACTTAAAACATTGCATATTCTTAAAAGATGTAATAGGTTTGGTAGACACTAGAATCAATTTTCAATACTAAAAAAACACGGTTAATAATCATAACCAACCATATTAGAGTAGGTTATTAATTCAAATTTTATGGAAGAAAAACCTTAAAATAATTATAAAAAACCCTAGCCATCCCCCTGCCTTCTCTTGCCCATTCCCTTTTCTCGCCTTGAATGTCTCCTCTTTTTCTTGTTTTTTCATTTCCTTAGTTGTCATTGCCTCTCTTTCCATCGATGATTTTTTTTGTTTTTTTTTTGTTTTTTGACAGGAGGAAACGGTTAAATTAGTGTTAAGATTTGTTGCTTTGTATGAGAGTCGAACTTTGGAGTTGAATGCATTTCACCTACTGTTCAATAGATAGCATGGCCACTACTGGGTCACACGAGGGATTGCTTCTATCGATGATTAGGTGAAATAGTCATAAATGGGAGTTCCCTTCTCTTTTGTAAAGGTTTTTTTTTTTTTTTTTTTTTTTATTAAGATTTGCTTTCGTTGGAAGAGGATAACAACTTTGAATGTGATACTTGCTAGGCTCATACGTATTAGTTATTATACTTGTTTCAACAGTTGAAGGCATAGTTGGAGATGGAGTCTTTAACTAAATTATTCTATCCCAAGAACCAATTTATCTTCTAATTAAATAAATTATTCTATAATATGATTTAACTATTAAAGCTGGAACTCAAGTTTGACTATTTGTTCATATAGACATTAAATTTTTTACATATTTTATGATTGTAATACATTTTGACCTATTACCTAGTTTGAATTGATATGTATCAGTAAAATTCTAAAATTCTAAAATTCTATTTCTCATAAAAAAAAAAGGTCATAAAATAATTAAGAAATACATAACCATTATTGACCCCAATCAAAATATGGTTTAGTCCATAATTGAACTTAATTAAAAAAAGAAATAATTTATCTTATTAAAAATTTTAGTAATAGGCATAAGTTTTTAGAAGGCGTTAGCTCTTAGAATTTGTAATTATAAACACCTACAAATATGATCTATGATTCAAAGAAGAACCAACCCTTGTAATTCATTTGCAGATGAGAGAA